TTAACGGACAAACCTTTACCAACAGAAGATGGCTTGTGCTCCTTTAGTTCATTCAAATCCTTAAAGTACAATGCTAATTGAACATCTTCAAAGGTCAACGACTATATTCCATACAAGAGAGTTTATTAGAAGTGAACATGAGACTTAGGTAAAGAACACAACAACGACAACGCTTGATCTTCATCATCAATCTTGACCTCGATATTCTCAAGATTAAGATTCAACTTGTTGAGCACGTCCAACTTCTCAGCCAAGGATTTGTCTTCACTCGTCTTGAACGAATGAAAATTTTGCTTCAAGTATAAACTATATCGTCATATACAAACCTTCAAGTTTCGTGCGCACACCAATTGCAGTTTTCTCCTTTGAAACTCGTCGGAGAACCTTATCAACAAGGCTCAACACAATGGTATTTTGGGCTTTTTCGACTATCGTTGTTTTCTCCTTCTCCAATTGGGCAACATCCATCTTCTCGGATCCTTTCAACACTTCTAGCAAACCCTGTTGAACAAGAGCTTGCATCTTCAAGCGCCACAAACTGAAATCATTTACGCCGATGAATTTATCAATCTCATACTTTGTTGACAATATCTTCTCCTCCACGCTCACCACACCAGTTTGATGTAAATTGATGTCATCAAGAACAAACCAAAATATGAGGGGGAAAATTGAGTTTCTTGAACAAACACAAGAAACCTTATTAAATTTTACAAAAGAGAGAGAAGAATGAAGAATAAGAATAAGTTAAATATGTTTTTCTATTCACTTTTTTCAATAAAGATTCATAGATTAAAAGTAAATACCAGCAATTAACCTCTCTCAACAATCTGAGAGAACTAATCTATTTATATACTACTAAGTTAACTTAGGATACAAGTTAACTTAACAATTGGGCTTACAAACAAGTCCCAATTCGACATGCTAACTTAAACACAAATCTAACATATTTCAACAGCATGCTTGAACAGACTACGACTCTAGCATGCACAACTTCTGTCGAACCATGAAATTACCCTTTGTAGACACTAGAGTTTGATCCAAAATACTATATTTTAAAAACGTTTGAAGATGTATTTTCAAACACGCGTAAGACATTTTAAGTTTTTAGAAGTGCGAGAAGCAGTCCAAAAATTTAAACTCTCTTTTCTATATCACTAATTCTTTTGTGGTAAGTCCACTTTCTTACATCTTCTCATCATAAAAAAAAATAAAACATAAATAAATTTATTATTTTGTAAATAAAGAAATTGTGAGACAATAATTTTTAATAAATAAATTCAATTCAATTATTTTGTCCAAACAATAAATTTAACGAATAAAACAACACAAAGTATAGATGGAATATCATAACGGGAGAGAGTATTTCAGCTTGGGATCAGAAATGGCTTCATGATAGTTCGATTTTAGACAATCCTTAGCCGAATTACCCGGAAGTGGTTAATCTCAAAGTTTAAAATTTGTTGAGTCCTAATGGTAACAATTAGAATCCGATCTTGGTTCATCCTCTTTTAGGAGAAGAAGATGCATCAAAGGTTCTCAATACTCAATTATTCAAGTCGGTTTAGGAGGATAAGTTAGTCTGAAAACTGGAGAAGAATGACATATTTTCTGTTCGAAGTGCTTATCATTTCTATATTAAAGAAGCTATTGATACCTCCCATCTTAGGATTGATAATAGGTGGAACCTGATATGAAATCTTAAGATTCTGCCACGAATTAAGAACTTCCTATGGCGTCTTTGCAGGAATTGCATGCTTACTAGGATGAGATTGAAGGACAAAGGTGTGGACTGTCCTTCTAGTTGTGGTGTTTGCGGGGTCGGAGTGGAGAATTATGACCATCTATTTCTCCAATGTTCTAAGAGTATTGAGTGTTGAAAAAGAGTGGGTGTTTGGTCTAGGCTTCAACAGTTATTGGATAGTGATGGTGAATTTGCTACTATTATTTTTTCCTTTTTGCAGAATTCTAGCCAAGATCAACAAGCTATGTTCTCAACTATGTTGTGGAGCACCTTAAAGTGTAGGAATAACATTGTATGGAACCACATTGATGACTCACCATATTCCATTTGTCATCGTGCTTCTCACTTATTGGCAGGTTGGAGAGATGCCCAACAAATCAGATCGAGGCTTAACACTCATCATCAAGAGGTTTTTGAATCCAAGTGGAACAAACCTTCAGTTGGGCGGTTAAAATGCAACATTAATACATCCTTCTTAAATAATAAAATTGAATAAGTACTTACATTCAAGATGATAAATGGGTGTTTGTTGCTGCCCAGACTATGTGATTGCTGAAGTAGATATGGGTGAAGTTTTAGGACTCTTATATTCAATCGAATGGGTTCATAAGTTAGGATTGGATAATGTAGATTTTGAGTTAGATACTAAAAAATGTAGTGGATAGTGTGAACATCCAGAATCCTAATGATTCGGATTTCGGTGCTATCATTAAGAAGTTAAGTGCTTATTAACCCTTTTTTATAGGAACTCTCATGTTAAATTCGTTAGAAGACAAGTCAATGAGATTGCTCACGTTTTGGCACGGACAACTTTATATCAAACTAATTTCCAAAATTTTAATGATGTACCAACATGTATATACTTTATCCAAACAATAAAAAAAATTTAGAATGAAGAGAATTTAAATGAATTGTGAGGTTTTTTTTTTTTACTGATGAATTGTGAGTTGAGCCGCTGAAAAACTGCACACACTTGAAGCTTGTGACATGCATTAGCCATTTTTATGTTAGTTATTATTATATTAATTATAATTATTACAAAATGTTACTATTATGAAAAGGATGAATTTAATACCAAAAAAACTATAACATGTTTCCATTGTTCACTTAAACACACTTCATGTGCTCCTACAGAAACCAAATACGCTTCTTAGTTCAGCCAATACATAATGTTTTTGTGTGTGAAACTTTACATGCAAAAAATCAGCAACTGAAAAATCAAAATCGATCTACTATAAACAGAACGCCCCTATATGAAAAGCACAGATAAATAACAGACCAAGTCAAAATAGCTGCAAGAATTAGTTTACACAGATACAGACACAAACAAATTTTGCAATTATACAACACAATTATCACACTTGATTAGTGCTCGCCTGTGCAGGAGCGTCCATAACCCCAGTTTTCTCCGTGATATAGGATCCGTCAGCAGGATAAAAATACTTTTTTTTTTGCTAAAATATTTATGCTTGCTCTTTCTGGCTTTGCTGTATACAACCTGCCAAAATGGCATGTCAGACTCAAAATACAAGACAGGCCATGTAAACATCCAAAGAGTAACACAGAAATTAATATCATGCAAGTAAGCCATTGTAGAAAGTTTAGAAACTACTGCTTACATTTAGAGTTATCATTCAACAGAAACTGGTTCTGTAACTTCCATGAGAACTAGAACAAACATTTATGATTAGGAAGGCTTTTATTTACTAAAGTGAGCTATTATTAATTCGAAGTCTTTTTTACATAAACACTTATACCATATATAAACTGCAAGGTCTTTGCCACTACACTAGATACAATTCCAAATGTATGCCAGTTTGGAGTGCTTGGACAATTTTCAGTAGCAAATCATGAATAAATTTTGTCAGGAAATCAAAATTTTGGACAACGCGGGTCTGGAGTGCTTGGACAATTTTTACCACTCAAGTACACTAACTTAAGAATATTTGCACACATAGAAATAGCATCTCAGTTCTATTTATATTTCAACAGAAATAGTAACAAGTTGTTTTCAAATTTTGAAATAAAACATGCCCGACACCATACCCATTTAGAAATGAAACAATCGTGACAAGAGTTCTCGGGTTTCATAATTTCTTTTACACAGCACTTCCATTTAGAATGATTAATTTTTTCATCTCTATACGACTTGTAACTCTTTACATAGTTTCACAGTTTCACTTATAGTAGGATAGAAGCTCTTAGTTCTGTCTTCTTCACCCACAGAATGTAAATCTAACATCATTATCCAATTATTCTGTGTCAATAGCTAGTGATAAGAGGTGCTTGCATTGCTGAAGATTAGCTAAAAGGAAGCGGCAAATTGAAACTAAAAGCCAAATCATTGGGAGGAAAATTTTGCTATCCATTATGTTTGAACGCATTGCCTAATTAGAGAAGATAGCCAAAGAAGTGATTGCATAATAAATTATAGAAGGACCTCTTAAGTAAAAACAAACAGTAAGTAACTGAAAAATCATGGAAAGGATTGGAAGATAAGACAGTCTATATTTGTCTTGGGACAACATTGTCAAAACCTTTAGCAGCACTTTTTGGTCACCAACCATCATCTTCTAGACCCATTATCCATAAAGAACACTGAATGTTTTGTGAGCTAATTTTACTACCAAATTGTCTGTCTTACACTCTATTTTGGGTGCATGGACCCATTAATGACTCATCCTTTTAATTGGCTTGATGGGCCTTAATCAGAAGAATAAAACCAAGAAAAAGAAGTATATGCTAATGAATAGGCTGATACAACAAAATCCTAGGCACTTCCCCTTTCAAAACATCAAACTCAATTCAAGAGCCACCGGCTCATGATGTTGTATAAGGCATGATGAGACTCAAAATGTCATGAACCAATAATTGAGCTTCATGAAATCATTTCTGGTTATTAAGGTTCACGAATCACGACATCATATTGGGTATCATAGATTCAGAACTTCATAATAACATCCAATTGACTGCCATCTATTGGCTATATGTTTATTCCAGCCATTTACCAATGATCTACCACATAACTGATTTACTTCATAAAAATTCAAAAGTGTGTATCTGAGACTAACTTTATTTAACTTTTGAGTGACTAATATCTGTTGGTTATGTCTATCTCAACTATTTAGAGATGCTCTACAATATAATCCATTCATTTCTTAAAATTCAAAAGTAAATACAGCAGAGAAAATTATATTATACCGAGAAAAGTTCTATTTTATCCAAAGCCAAAGAAATTACCTGCACATAACGAGCACACCTAAAAGCTACTCGGTGCGTCCCTCATGCTCAAATTCAAACTGTTGCGCATAGTCCTTCTACCAACTCCAACATTGCCTTTTTGCATCATGGCAGAAAATTCACCATAATCAATCCTTCCATCCTAAAACAAAAGATATAACCAAAACCATGAAGCATATTAGTAGAAGAGGATGCCGGGATTTAATTCAATTAAATATTGGTATGCAAAAAATAAAGATACTAGTCAGATCATTAGAATTTAGGCATTTGATATTTATAGCATTTGATATGTAGTGGAGATAATACTCATATATTCATTGCGAGCATAAGTATATATGACTTACGTTATCTTGATCAACTTCCTTGATAATATCTTCAAGAAAAACATCGGTCATGTTATGTTCTGCACAAGCTTGTTGAAGTTCATCAACTGTAATATAACCACTTCCGTCCTTGTCAAAATATCGGAATGCTGCAACAAGATGCTCCTCACGCTCCAGTTTGTTGAGATGAACTGTTGCAGCAATAAACTCCCCATAATCTATAGTTCCACTGTTGTCCACGTCAGCCTGAAACAACTCAAACATTTCAGCTCAGCAGAAGATAATCAGAATTTATTTAACATGAATATAAGTCCCTGGTTTTCTATATCACATTTAGACACTTTTCACTAATGTCAAATGTCAAAATGACAAGTTACCATCAAACACGTCTGATCAATTCAAGCAAAGTATAGCCTAGGGCATCTTTACCATAGATAGGTGATGTGGTAATAAATAGAGAGTTATTTATAAGAGAATGACTCATAAGAATCCAGATTCAAGAGTCTTGAATGGACGCTTGTTCAAAAGTGAATAGACTCAAGTAAAAGAAGATGGTGCAGAAATCCATATATTTCTTCATGACTCAAGTTTCTGTTATGGTGAAGTTCCCAATTATTTCCAATAATAAAAACTAAAAGCCATGGAACAAATATCCATATACCACTCCCATGTGTCACCCACAAGCATTCTTTTTCTAGCATAATAAATAATCAATGAATGATAAAAGATATTTAATACCAGTATCTGAACAAAGAAAGCTTCCCTATGTTAGTACATAAATAAAGAAGAAGAAGAAAGACATATGACATATTAAAGTGAAGTATAACAGAGTGAGTAAAACATTGTGTGTTATCTACTTATTTCAAAATCATAGATGTTTTTAACAGAGTGAATGACGAAGACTATAATAGAAACTCACAGAGTAAATATATAACAAAATTAAAATATCATTTCCAAAAAGAATGGGTACATACACAAAATACAGAAAAATAATATTTTTAACAGAATTAAGTCAGTAACACCCTACCGCTTCCATAAGATCACGTATTTCTGTATCCTTAAGGGTAGACCCGTATCTTCTTAGACCAGCTTTGAGTTCATCAAAAGTGATTGCACCACTGCTATCAGTGTCCATAGCCTGAAACATTTCTCTCAAACCAGCAATTTCCTCCTCCGATAGACTTTCCGCAATTACCTAAGAAAATACCATAACAAGCAACCATATCAAACAACTATAACAAAAGTTACTTAGTTTGAATCATACCAAAAACAATGGCACTTCATGTATTGTTAATTTGGAAATAGTTTGAATACAATTGAATGTGTGCAATAAGGTTATTTAATTTGGGAATCAAGAAGGGCATGATAGTGTATTCCCACAAAATCAACAGCAACACTTCATATATTATATATGAATAAGCTAAAAATGTATGATGCACATTCATACATAAATTAATATTCATGTAATTGTTCGCTTTACTTACCCGCAAAGCCATCTTCTTTAGCTTATTCATTGCAGAGAACTGTTTGAGACGAGAAAGAACAGCAGGATCCAATGCTCTGTCTGGGGCAACGCCATTTTCACATATCCAAGGATGACCTGAACAAGCACAACAAGTAATGTCCCTTGATCTACAAAATAGATGTCATCACATATAATATTGCAAACAATCACGCTGAGGGCAGCTTGGAAGTTTGAAAAGTTCAAGAGCCACAATCTAGTGCTCGGAGTCACTACTATTCATACGTATAATAACATCCACCGAATAGTCGTCATAGTGACTAATCCAAAAGGAAAACGCATCTATTCTATTCATGTAGAGATTATCCTTGTTTATATAGCTAGTGCAATAGAAAAAAGGACGAACATACATAAAACTTCATGGGCAGTCAAGCGATCCGCAGCCCGAGAACACAGCATCTTTCTAATAAGATCTTTTGCACTATCCGATATTAAAGGCCATGGATCTGATTCAAAATCTATATGTCCCTTCAATACTGCGTCAAATATACCCTGCTGGGTCTCTGATTTCCAAAACAACAAAACTGTGAGTAAATGCCACACATGCATCGCAAATGATCAAAAGAGTGTTAGCAGTTAGACACATACCTGCCCAAAACGGTGGCACACCACTGAGCAATATATAAAGTATGACACCCGCGGTCCACACATCCGCTTCAGGGCCATAATGCTTGAGAAGAACCTCAGGAGCAACATAGTATGGACTGCCAACTACATCCGTGAAAACTTGACCTGAGGCAATAAGGATTAAATGAAGATATAAGCAAAGAGAATTTTGTCTAATTAATATAGTAACTAGTAAGAATCTAGCAAATTTGGAAGCATGATTTAATAATAAAAAGTGCATTTATTGCATACATACATGACATAATAAAAAAAAGAAAAGGTAAGAAAATGGAGAAAAAGAAGTAGGAACCTGGTTTGAAGAAAACGGAGAGGCCAAAGTCAATAGCTTTAAGAGAGAAATCATCGTCTTTATTGACCAACAAAAAGTTTTCAGGCTTGAGATCTCTATGCATAACCCCAAGAGAATGACAAGCTTCGACAACGCCGACAATAATTTTGGTCAACTCGGCAGCCTTCCTCTCGGTGTAGTGACCTCTCTGGATAATGCGATCAAAGAGCTCACCCCCGGAACAAAGCTCCATAACAATATGAACATAAAGGGAATCCTCATAAGCACCCTTAATGGTAACAATATTCTTATGACCAGCCAAGTGATGCATAATCTGAATCTCCCTCCTAACATCCTCGACATCCTCCTTGGAAATAAGCTTCCTCTTGGAAATAGATTTGCAAGCATACTCAATAGAGGTGGAATTGTCAAGAGCTAAAAAAGTAGTACCGAATTGCCCTTGACCGAGTTTCCGGCCAAGAGTGTATAGATCACGTATGTTGGGAGTCTTATGACCCAAGACATAATAAGTCTGGTTATCGGCGGTTCGACGCATGGCGGAGGAGGTGAGGTTGAAGGGTAGTGGTGGATGGTTGGGTTTCGGCGAATCACGTTTCGAATTGGAATTGGAATTGTCCGACTCGGGCTGAGAGAAGCCCTCGATGTATTTTCCTTTCAAAGATCCACGGCATGTATTGCCCATCAAACAATTATTGTTATCTTTTTATATATAAATAATAATAATAAATATCTATCATCACCTTTCTTTCTTCACCTCTTCTTCGTAAGCTGACCAAAACAAAAACAAATCAAATCAAACATTCATTCATTTTTTTCAAATTTCAATACAAACACATCATGCTATGCTGCTATAAACGAACATCAAATCAAATTCATTCATTCATTCATACGTTTATTAATATTAATTAATTTAATAATAAAAATCCATAAGCGTGCGTGTGCGTACCGGAAGGAAGGAAGGAAAGAAGGAAATAAGTTTCTTCTCCGGTGGCTCCGATAGATCTCCGCAAAGTTAGTTTTGGTGGAAATAATTATAATAGTAATTGATTCGTTGTTAATTTTAGGATGGAAAGAAAAAAATTTATTTTTATTTTTAAATGGTTCCTACCGAGAAACATCGAAAGTCAGTGGTGACCAGCTTGTAGGATTTTCAATAACGCGCCTTTCTTTTCCTTTTTATTGTCTTTTTCCTCTCGGTTGACCCAAATCTTTCAACTTCTATTTTTGGCTTTTCTTATTGGGCTGGACCCTATTCTATTACTACTCTCAGACAAATATCTCTTATATACCCCCCCTTCCACTTACCAATAATAATGGATTCTTGTCTATAATTAATACGTGAAATGTTAACCATATGTTTTCTTTCGTTTCACTCTAAATGCATTCACATGTGCTCGTGTCATTTGGGCACCATCTGAGAATCATTTGGACTTGTTAGGTCACTATCTTTGTTGGTGTAAGTAATATTTCAATACGGCCTCTTGTTGCTCTTTCATGTAATGGATACATGACGTTTATTGAGTAATCAATAATGTTAAACGCATACTCCAAACACTATGTTGGACAACATATTCACACCAATGTGATGACTAATACATGGTTGTGAAGCCTACTAACTACTAGTATAACTAACTATTCATCTCTGACTCTTCTTCAACTCTCTTTCTCTATACTTAATCGGGCAACCGACTCATAAATTAAAGTTTTTGAAACTCTTGATTAGATAAATTTTATTATTCAGTTTGTCGATAGTATTTTATTTATGAAAAATATGACAATTTTCTAGCCAAAGGTGTCTTTAAAACATTTGACCCAAATATATCTATTTTTTTACGTTAGAGCAAAAACTGAAATTTAAAAGAGTTTGTGTGTATAAGGAAGATTCTTCAAATATCAATTTAACCTTTATTAACTCTTTGCTGGCTTCATGCTATTTTTTATTTATTTGACTACACGTTTGGCTTTTATCTATACAACTGTTTCTTTTGCCTACATACATTTTTGTCTTTTAGTGTGTAGCCACTTTACTCTCTTTCATATCTCTTTCTTATCTAATAGCATCTTTAGTGTAAATTTTGTAATATTAAATTTTTTAATAGTAACGATAGTTATAAACAATTTGCATTGTAATAAGAATGACATGACAGTAAGTGAACTAACAATTAATTTTCGACAATTATATAACCAACGCACACTATTAAATTTCAATGACTCTGATTATTATTTTATTATTATTTTATATTATTAAAATATTAATAAAACTCCAACCGATATAATTCAACGGCTATGTACTTTTTCAAAATTATAATGGTTATATTAATAACGACATTAATGTGTTAAACACGTCTGATGTGTTTAATGATATTTTGAGTGCAAAAGCTTCTGTAGTACTTACTTGGTGAATCAAACAACATATCATATAGGGCACTACCTAGCAAATGACATTTATCTTGAGTGGGTAACATTTGTCAAGACCATCCCTATGCCGCAAGGAGAAAAGAGAAAGTTATTTGTCCAACGACAAGAATCAGCATAGAAGGATGTTGAACGAGCATTTGGAGTGCTCCAAACTCGATTCGCTATTGTACGTGGTACAGCTCATGCTTGGCATGTTAATACAATGAAACACATAATGTTAGCATGAACTATATTGCATAACATGATTATCGAAGATGAGCGAGACGCATATGCTAATAAATTTGATTACGACCGCGTTGATAATAATTTCTCCACAACTGAAGTATCTACTAGTCCCGATCCCAACTTGACAACATTGTTTGAAAGGATAACACGTGTCCATCAAAGGCAAAATCATCGCCAACTTCAAGCAGACTTGGTGGAGCATATTTGGGAGAGATTTGGTCATGAGAATAACGAAAGTTAGTTTGTCTTATTTTGTATTCCTGCTAAAATATAATTTGTTGCTTATTGTCATGTATTTTTTTTATATTCCTATGAAAATGTAATTTTTTTGTGTACTATTGTTGTGAATTTTGTATCATTTTTAATTTTATAATAAAATATATTTATTATTTTTACAACCTTTTTAGGTAAAGTTTATGAAAATATTTTATGCATTTTAATTAAAATAATTAAATTAATGGTAAGTTGAATAAAAAATATAAAATATGGGGTCAAGTTTTAGTTTTTTACAAGCAACCCTCATTAAAGTAAAAACAACTCAAATCAACTATAAATATTTTAAATCCTACAAATCACTTTGGGTCCACAAAAAGTATCTTAGTTTACCCATTTAGTTTACTCACACTAAAGATGCTCTAAGTCAGCGTACCTGAAGCTAGTGAGATTATACCTGAGTGAATCGCATACTCAAAGATCAACAGAGTCGCCACCGAACTTTATTTAGTCCCAAAGGACAGGGAAAATATCGATAAAACCCAAGGGAAGAGAAACGGGAAAGGGGGTCGGTTATGCGAAAGGAAGGTACTAGCACCTTAAGCATCCGTCGTACCCGACGGGAACCATTTCGCTTGCTTCTAGGCTTGGATGTGTTATCTATCTAAAAGCTTATAGCTAAAAAAGGAAGGAAAGAAAAAAAGAAAAAGAAAGAAATGAAATTGCTCGCGGAGGCTTGGGGTCCTCGTGCCTACGTACCCTCATAGTGCAATGAGGAAGTCAGAGCTCCGTAGTTCAAGGAACCAAGGAAAAGAAAAGGGAATCTGGGCGGACCAATGAGACAGAAGAGTGGAAGAAGACGGAGGAAGCTGGCTCGCCAAGATTTCGCAATCTTGTGCCTACGTACCCTCATAGTGCAATGAGGAAGTCAGAGTCTACGTAGTTCGGGGAACTAACGCTGAGAAAGAAAAACAAAGACGACGTCAAAGCCAAAAACGAAAAGAGAAAGTAAAATTCCAAATGGGGAATGCAAAAGGAATGGTGTCAAAACCAAGAAAGAAGACTAAAGGAAACTCTGATGAGGAACAGAGAAGAAACGCAAGAACTTTGTCGGGGAATGCAGAAGAAAATAGATGACTCCACTAGGGAGAAAACAAAAGAATTGTGACGTGGTCTGGGAAGAAAGGAGTAAAGGACAAGAATCAAAATAAAGGTAAGATCCACGGGGGACTCGGTGCATTAATTGTAAGCAGTGATTAACCGAAGAAAGATAAGAGTAAAACTTTATGGGAAGAGCAAAAAGGTTGGTGTTAACAGACGGACTGTGAAGAACCAAGCGAAAGGGAGTATTACACCAAAGGGAGGTGTTTGACTTTGAGGGAAAATTGGTATATTAACTGATAAACAGTGGTTAACCAAAAGGAGAAAAGAACTGGTTTTAACCGACAAACGCTGATCAACCAAGAGACAGGTGTGGAACCAAGCAAAGGTTGTGACCCAAAGAATGACACATTGACTGAACAAACAACACTTGGCCAAAGGAAAGGGTATTCAAACCGAAAAAAGGTTACCACCTAAAGTTGGCAGTATTTGAACCAAAGAAAGGTTGCTAACTGTAAGGGGTAAGATGCTTAACAAACAGATTGTGATTAACCGAAAAGAATGAGTGATTAATCAACAGAAGGTGATTAACTCAAAAGAAACTCAGTATCTTAATAAACGGATTGTGGTTAGCTGAGAAAAAGGGGTGATTGGTTCAAATAGGCGGACTGTGATTGACCAAAAGGCGGGTGATTAACCAAGAGAAGGTGATTAACCCAAAGAAAAAGCTGGTTTTAACGGGAAGACCGTGATCAACCAAAGATCGGGTGATTAACCGAAAGAAGGCAATTAACCCAAAGTAAAAGTTGGTATTAATAGACGGGTTTGTGATTAACCAAAGATCGGGGATTAGTTGGGAGAAGGCGATTAACCCAAAGAAAATTCAGTATTAACAGACGGGCTGTGATTAATTGAGGAAAAGTTGACTAGTGTTTAACTAAAAGACAGTGATTAATCAAACACGAAGGAGAGATAACCAAGAGAAGGTTGTGAACTCTGATGGGGATTAGGTTTTAACAGGATGACTGTGTAAACTGAAGAAGAAAGACTGACTTCGCTGGGGAAGAAGAGAATTGGCTTTATCCAAAGAACGGTTGAATAGCCAGGGAAAGAAGTGAATACAAATATCTGGAGAACCAAGAATGGATTGGCCTCAAGAGAAAATATTGTTGAATTGAAAGGAGGAAGTTACTTCCAAAGAGGAGATAAGGATGCAAGTGATCAAGGATCGACTCAACTGGAGAAAGCAGGGATACCACAGTAAGGAGATAGAGGCGACTATTCCAAGCACAAAGTCATTCTTCCCCTACCTAAAATAGTCAAAATGAGTGTTGGAATTTTCCACTCTTATTCCTTCTCTAACACCAAAGTGCGGTGCGAGAAACGAAATGGACAACACAACGGTGCCAAGTTTGTATAGTGCTCCAATGCGTTGCGAATCTTCAACTCCACGGGGGAAAAGAGAGGACAAAACTCTAGATGATCCAAAGGAGAAGAAAAAAAAGGAGGATCGATTAATTGAAAATGATGTTTCGATTAATCCATCAAAAGGGGAAGATGCTAACAATTTTCCAAAGGGATGAAAAATCATTGAAACAAATGATGAGTTATTGATTGTACAAGATTAAGTTCATTCCAATGAGCAACAAACTTAATGCAAACATGCTTGGAAGTGTAAAACATTACCAAATGCAATATAGTATGCATCACAAATCACGTAGCATG